TTTTTCTTTGTCCTTTATCTATTTGTCCAATTTTTTTATGATCTCCCTATCTAATAAACAAAACCTAAATCCACGTGTCCATTGAAAAGAGCTGAATTTTTACAAAGTTAAATACCTATTATACCCCTCTTTGATTCAGCTGCGTATCAAAACATATACTACGCCCTGTTTTCTTTAGAATTACTCGGTTATAACAGGTCTGGGCATTAACTCCAAAATTCATTACATTCCCGTTTCATAGCATCTTATTATGGTATCCGATCTTTTATATAAGGTATGCTATCAATGCTATCAATTGCATTCAATGGAAATCGTATTACAGTCAATATATATTTCAAACCTTTATATCAATCGTTTCTTTGGTAAATTGTGTCTCCTTCGTCCTTCATCAATCGTGCTCCAAAATCATCCACTCAATCACAGACGAAAATCCTCCACTCAATCGCAGAAAAGAGGTGTTCGGTAAGTTTCTTAAAAGCTTACTTTCAGATTGTTTGTTTATTAGTTGAATCTTCTTGTGTGTTTTTTTTAATTTCTGTGTTGTTTTTTACACAACAGTTTATGCTTCTCAATTCTCAATGTGTATGCGTGTGATAATCATAATCGAAAATTGTTTCTGCTTCTTAAAAACCTACTTTCAGATTGCTAATCAAACAATAATGATGGCTAGGGCATTTTCGTCCTTCATCAATCGTTGTTAATTTTGATTTTTCATGCTTATCCATTCTATCCACTGGATCAAATGCTGGAGGGCATTTTCGTCTTTTGTTTTCTCTTTGTAGTGTATATACATGTACGCCCAAGAAGATGATATTAACAACCTATCTACCCCTTAAAAACCCTTTTACCCTTTATTTATATCTGTCAATCTTATCCACTTTTGGATCCTATTATTATATACTCTTAATTTGATATTTTTATAACTTAATTAAGTTGACCAATCTTACATCTTCGGGTAACATTGTTTTCAAATTAAAAAAAAAACACATCAAAGAGCATCCAAAAAAACAAAAACACAAAAAAACCACAAAAAATAAACGTCCCAGCAGAAAAAAAAAACCCCAAAAACAGGAACCAAACAATATCAAACAATAGGAAAATTGTACTTTTCAATTTGGCGTTGCTTTTATTTAGAAACCATAAAAAATTTGTACTTCTCAGCATGCTTTCATTTTCTGTGTTTGCTAACTTTAAAGGCCAAATCTGTCCTGCTGTTGGTACTTATTTTTTTATTGGTAAAATACCATTTTTACCCTTTATTTATATTTGATCAATATGAAATATACTCAAATATCGATTTTCTGCATTCTTTAACTATGAAGTACATCAAATTGGACTAATATACCCCTACCCCTGCATGCATTCTTTAACAAACGTTACAATCAATAGCAACATACTTTCATTTATCTTTTTGTTAATTCTAAAGGACAAATATGTCCTGCCCGTTCATCCTGCCTTTTTTTTGTTAATTGTAATGGCCAAATCTTTTTTTATATGCTTACTACTCTAGGGACATAATTGTAATTATGTTTGTGTTTACATTTTCTATGTGTAATTTTCTTCCATTGTTTATCCTTAATATTGTATGTCTTTCTGTTGTAGTGACAATGGCAGCTAGAAATATCACTTTCATCAGCGACTTAGACAATATGAGGGATGATTACACACTAAAAGTGTGTATCATCCGGTTGTGGAGATCATTTTCCGAATCTGACCCCACTGTTGTGAAATCAATTGAAATGATATTAATGGATGAAATGGTAAAATATCCTATTACAATAACATTATTCAAAATCATTTTTTTTTGTATTTGCTCATTCCAATAATATTATTCAAATTCATTCATGGTCGAATAATTGATTCAACTTTGACCAAATTATATAAATTAATATACAATTGGTCAGCAATATATATAATATTCTTACAATATATTAATAGGGTACAAAAATCAGAGCCAGTGTCTACCGAAAAGATTTCCAAAGGTTTGACTCCAAGCTGAAAGAAGATGACGCTATTTACATCCGATCCCCCACTATAGCTCCAAACAAATACACTTTTAAAATAAGTGATGTAACCTCCAAGTTAAACTTGCATGGACAAACAACTGTTCATGAGTGTCTTGGTTTTCAATCCAAAACAAAATATGAGTTTTGTTTTGTATCGTTTGAAACCATTATCTCTGCGACAACTACATCTAATATCTCAATTGGTACTTTTTCCCCCTATTTTATTGCATTTTATATTTAATTTTTTAATTTTACATAAATTTGACATATTGTATTATCATTTTTTAGATGTTATAGGTGAAGTTGTTTCGTTAGGCAAGCTGGATTCCCGTGATGTTAGCAAATCGAAACATAGGCTAACTTTACAAATCAGAAACTTAGAGTAATTATAACTTTTATTATATTATATATTAAATTATTATTATTATTATTATTATTATTATTATTATTATTATTATTATATAAACATTTAACCTTTACTGTTTCTGCAGAGGTTTGCAAGTTAACGTCACATTGTTTGCAGATTTCGCATACCAAGTGATTTCTTATCTTGAAGCTCATAAACAAGTTGGTCGTGTGGTTATTATTTTGCAGTTTGCAAGACTTAATGTCTATAACGGTACAGTTCTTATAAAAGGCAACCTTCGTTATTTTACGCTTTTTTATTACTCATTATTTTGACTAATTTATTTTCTTTCAACAGGAATTCCTTCTGTTAACAATTATTTTGATCACACACGTATGTTCATAAATGATCTTCCCGAAATTGTGGCCTTCACAGATAGGTAACAAACTATTTTAATTATTCATTCTTATTTTGTTTCTTTTTAATAATTTTACTAATTTCATAATTATTTTCCTAAATAAAAAAACAGCTTGGTTGGATTACGAGGAATTCAAAACCCTTCTTCTTCTTTGACTTTTGATAGCTCTCAATCATACAATGAATATGAAGACTTTTTGAATAATCACAAAGTTAAAAATGTTGTCGATTTGCTAGAACCACAAGAGGTATGTCAATAATTTGGTTTATTTAATGTGATTTTGTTTTATATTATTCATTTATTGTAGTTGCATTGTTTTTTTATGAATCTTTTTGTATTTTATATTTTTTTAGGTCGGGAAATTTATCATTGTTGGTACAATTTACGGTATACGACAAGATATTGATTGGTATTATGATGCGTGTTCAAACTGTGGAAAGAAAGTTGATCGAAGAGATGTTTTTAGCGGTCCAGATAGTGGTGATGCAAGTGTGGTTGTTGAATGCTCTACTGATAAGTGTAAAAAAAAGGAGATTTCTTCAGCTCCAAGGTTTTTTACATTTACCAAAACCTTAACCGGACAAATTAAATACATTATTAATCATTAATAATGTATAGTTAAACTTAAACATATTTAATATAAATTTATGTGGGATATTTTTGTAGGTATAAAATACCTATTTGTGTCCAAGATGATTCCGGCACAATCACACTAACTCTGTTTGATAGAGATGCTTATAGACTTGTCAAACAACGTGCAAGTGAGCTCATAGAGAAAATCAAACAGGTATAACTTAAGTATAATATATGTTTTATTAAATTCTATTATTTGTTTCATTTTATTTGTATTAATTAATATTAATTTGCTTTTAACCATAACAATAATACATAAGACATTTTTTCCAGGCTGGGGATAATCCGAGAATGTATCCTTATGACCTCAAATGTCTGGTACATAAAAAGATGGCATTCAAGATAGATGTTAATAGATTCAACGTATCCAATAACTAGATCGGTTTGGGATACTTGGCTATACGCTTAATAGTAACGTTATCAATGCTTTGGAAAAAAAGTTATCTGTTGAGGTATTTATATACATCTTTTTTTGGAAATTATGATGCACACTTTTATTTAATGATTTTTACTAATTACTAATTAATTGTAAATCTTGATGGAATAAAACCTTAAACCCACAAATGATAATACATACTTTTTATGCACCTAAAGCAGGCAGGTAATTCTGGAAATCCTGATGATACAGAAATCGCATCTCACGAAGCATCTCACAGGTTAGCCTATAAAACTCCATTATTTATTTTTATATAAATTTTTTTTATCAAATATTTTTTGTTATTATTTTCGTACTAAATCTATTTCCTGATTTTGCTTCAAGGACGCCATCTCACAGAGCGGTGATAATTTGACGCCTTCCATGCCCGACAAATCAGAAGCTACAAGTCCCTTCAAGTTTAATTCACCCCCAAATGTAAAAAAACGAAACGTTGGAGATATAATTGATGTTGATGAATATGATAATGTCAATTCGTCTACAAAAGTACCGCGCTTGAATTCCAAGGTCGATGGCAACACAGGTCTTTTAATACCAAAACTTGAAAAGTGATTTCAGTTTGGACTTTTTGAATCAACAATATTCTTGAATTTTTTTTTTTGGGATTCTGTTTGGCAGTTTTGCTCTTCGTGGTGTTCAGTATTCAAACATTCATAGTTCTTGGTTTCTTTTTGTTTCTAATCTCTATCTGAAGTAAAAAACTGTTTTTTTGGGTTATGACTTTAATTAGAATAATCCAATTTTAAAGTGATTTGTTGGCGTAATAAATATGGATGTTAAGCTTTTAGGTAAGCAATAACTTTTCTTTTTGTTCGATGTGTGTTTTGTATTTAAGCCTTCCTTTATATGTGTGTCATAAGTGTGTCTACTGATGAAAGTTTGAATACTTAACAATTATGATTATAAAGATTCTAATTATGCATAGATATATCAAAAATAATTCGACAGAATTAGCTTTCATGTGCAAATAAAGCAGTGTACTTTTCTTTTTCGTGTTATGAGTATATTAGCTATATGAAAAAACATGTATCAAATATGAATAAATTAAAAAAAGTGGTATATCAAATGCACATGAAATCGGTGCATGCATCACGGGAATATGTTTTTCAAAAATTATATGTAATGTTAGAAATGTACATTGTAATGAAGTTGTCACATGAGATATGTCTATGTATTTGAATGTGTAACAGTGGATAGAATGGATAAGCATCAGATGTCAAATTTGGCCTTTGTCAATCCTTTTGTTAACCTCTGCAATTTTCAGTCTTTACATTCCAAAATAATTGTGAATTTATTGTCTCCTCTGGTAGACCTAAATAACATGTCAATTTTTTTTATTTACAAATATTGCATCCGGAATGTTCATATTGATCTGGATCATTCACAACTTAAATATATCTTTCTGTTTCTGAATCAATACAAAGTACATAACACTTTTTGGCCAATATATATATATATATATATATATATATATATATATATATATATATATATATGCAAAAGACTAATATGCCCTCGCCGGCTCATTCCATGTGATGTGTTAGGTTTTTTGACACAGGTGTATTTTTTTCAAAACACATACCACTATGACAGGTATTATGATTCGAAACTTCTTAAAATAAATCACATTTAAGCAAATTATGCAGATAAAACGTATTTTACAAATATAAAATACCATATTTTACCATTTATTTCTTTCACTTATAAATCGATATTCAATATGGAAATTATATAATTACCTGATTAAGAGCATTTTTTTATGGTATCCATATCAATCATATCTATTACATTTAATTTTCATTATTATGTCGATTTGATCATATATTTGTCAGTATATATTTGTCAGTATATATTTGAAACATATGATAATCAGTATTTCTTTACAACATTGTGTGGTTATTATGGATCTTAATCTTAATAATCTCACGTAAGTTGAATTTCGAATATTCAGTTACATACTTCAATCCAAAGGACACTCTCTGCATCTCAATTCTGCTTCTTAATTTCGGATATTCAATCACCGACTTTTTTCCTTCGGTAAGTTTCTCATGATTATATATGATTGCTTCTCAATGTTTGTGTTAATCGTACAATTGAAAATTCTTTTCTTCTTCTGAATTCTGCGACTTAAATTCTGCTTATCATTGTTTTTTTTACTCTAAACATCTGGTTGTTACTACGAACTGCTAAACATCGGCCATTAGGAAATATGAAATACTTTTTACACCTGGTCCACTTTCATATGCTTGATGTTTAGATAGACGTTTTTCGTGTAAAGATTGTATAAAAACCTACATGAATAAAACATGGATGAACATATTAAGTGACATTGAATTAAAGTTTAATGCTAAGTAAATAGTAGTAGGGTAATGCAAAAACGAAAATTTCGTATTCAGTAATATTAACAACTAAAAATGGTTCTGTTTAAGCCTACATCATATCCTATTTCCCTTTGATTAATATGTTTTTGGTGTAAACCGGTTCAAATCAATGACAAATATGTAATTCTATGAAACATGACAGAACTGCCCCTTAATTCAAAATAGAACCTACCAGTCAAGTAATACAAAATACAATCAACTAATAATAAAGAAGAAAAAATATAACAAAAAACTGATAGAAAAATGTATTTGTCATTATAACGTCACAGAAATGCCCCCGAACTCAAAAAACATAAATATAAAATTTTATTTCTATTCGTATTGATTTCGATTGTACTTTTAGCTTTTTTGTGTAACCCCTCAATGAATCTGAAATATAAACAAAATAAAGGCAAAATAAATTCTGAAAATGTACAGGTTTGTAGTATATTACAGTACAAAAATTACCATTAATATATTTTCTCTTATTTTTCTTATATTTCAGATACTAACAATTAACATGGATGTTTACAAGACTAATAAGAAGATAAAATTAAATAATTTCTATCTTGATAATACAAAACATATACCGATGTACACTACATCAGTCGATCAAATTCTATCTTCTACAAATGTTAGTAACCCGGGTGCTAACGGTACGTTCAATTAATATGTTATTACTTTCTTTATAAAATTTTTAATCTTAATTATAACTATTTTATGTCTCTCTCTCTCTCTCTCTCTCTCTATATATATATATATATATATATATATATATATATATATATATATATATATATATATGCTTATGCAGATTCAGATAGAAACATCTATCATGTTCAGGCTAGAGAAAAAAGAAGAATAAGAAAATTATATTTGGACAATAAAAAAAAGGTATGACCAAATGAATCCTTTCAATTTCATCTATGTCACATCTTTTGAAAATGAAATTAATAGATAACCTACTTAAAGTCATGTATACATTTTTTTTATCAGTTAAATATAAAAGTAATTAATTTGAAATGCTTTTTTAAAGTAATATGTATTTATCAATATTAATATTCATATATTATTTATCGATTTCTAATATTATTTATAAGTTATTTTATTTATAATTTTTTTTCTCAATGCAAATTTAAAGGAGTTGTCCATCGAAGTAAAAACGTATCCGCATCTACATCAAGTGCCAATGTTTCAAAAAAATCAATGTTACCAAATCATCCTTCACATTTAAATGTTAGAACTCCTTTATCTAACATTTCCAATGGTAAGTCATTTATTTGTTTAATTTATTTTTATAATCGACAATCTTATTGTATCATATATAATATTGTTTACCTTCAATTTTCTTATCCCAGTCATGGATATTTCCAATAACAGTTTTCAATCACCGTCAACAAACATCAGCTTCGATTCAAACGGTAACATACATCATTGTTTTTACACTTTCTTTCTAACCTTCAAACAATTACACTTTTATTTATAATTTATCCATTTCTTATAACAATTTTTTTACAGAAACATTCAAAGGAGTGGTCAATCGAAACAAAAACGTATGCACATCTATGTCAAATGGGAAAATGTCAAAACAACCAATGTTACAAACACCTTCATATTTAAATTTTAGAACTCCGTTATCTAACATTTCCAATGGTATCTCATATATATTTTTATTTTATAATACATATATTGTCATTGTATCATATTTAATATTGTATACCTTCAAACTTCTTTTCCCAGTCATGGATATCTCCAATAACAGTTTTCAAACACCGTTACCAAACATCGGAATGGATTCAAACGGTAACATACTTGATTGCTCTTAAATTTTTTATCTTTGTTTAGAAATATAAATTAAAACTTATTATTTCATATTAAATATTGACTCATTTCTCATTAACATATTTTTTACAGACAAAATCAACGGAGTTGTTCGTCGAAATAAAAACATAACCTCATCTGAATCAACTGCAAACATGTCAAAACAATCAATTTTACAAAATCCTCCTTCACATTTAAATGTTAGAACTCCGTTATCTAACATTTCCAATGGTAAGTCATTTATTGTACCATTTCATCTAATAATATATATTTTTATTCTATGATATTTAACAATGCATATTTTTAATCTTTTTTCCCTAGCGATGGATATTTCAAAAAACAGTTTTCAATCACCGTTACCAAATATTCGACAATACTCTGTAATTTCAAATGGTGACACATCAAACAACTCATCTACAGTAACAAAGAGATCATCTTCAGTCATGTCTACCAATCCTAATCGTAATAAAAACAAAAAAAGGGCAAATTTATCTCCTATTCCAATAATTGGTTTGACATCCGATCAATACATCAACGATGGTCAAAGTAATCAAAACATATACAACGGTATATCAAAAGGTAAATTTTTAAAAAGTATAAAATTTACAGTTGTTTATCCAATCATTTACAATTATCTAAACTTACAATATTAACTTTTTATGTAAAACTTAATTCACAGATTATTTGGATCATGGTGATCAGAATGTTGTATGCCAAACATGTTTTGCAAAATTATGGAAAGATGAATCTATCAAATGTAGAAAAAAGGATAATGAAAATTATTCTCTATGTTGTGGTTATGGCAAAGTTGAACTTCCAGAGTTAAAGAATGCACCTCCAAGTTATGAAATTCTTTTTAAATCTGGAGATTCTAAAAGCAAACATTTCATGAAGAACATTCGTTCGTACAATTCTATGTTTTCTTTTACGTCGATGGGTGGCAAAATCGATTCCTCAATCAATAGAGGCAATGCTCCATACATTTTTAGACTTAGTGGTCAAAATTATCATAGTATCGGAAGCCTTTTACCAAATCAGGGATTTAAACCAAAATTCTCTCAGTTGTACATATACGATACTGATAATGAAATCGCAAATAGACGAACATGCTTGGGGTACACTTTTCTATATTATCACATTAATATTAATATATATCTTATTGATCAGTAATACTTTCTTTATTTATCTTATGTTTATCTGTTAATGGTACTTGTAGTGGAGAAAATCAACGATCTACATCAAATTCTTCTGTCCTTGATGATGATATTATACAAGATTTGAAATTGATGTTAGATTCAAATAATGTCTTGGTTCAATCTTATAGGATGGTTAGAGATTGTTTTAATGAAAATCCTTATGCTGATATCAAGTTGAGAATTATTGGAAGAAGGGACCAAGATGGAAGGACATACAACCTACCGTCTGCTTCTGAGGTAGCAGCTTTGATTGTTGGAGATATTGGTGATTCAATTGATAATAGAGATATTGTTGTTCAAACTTCATCTGGTTCTCTACGGCGTATTAGTGAATTACATCCATCATACCTTCCTCTTCAATATCCACTACTCTTTCCATATGGTGATGATGGTTACAGAGTTGACATACCACATCGAGGTATTACATCTTCAAGCAACAGCAAGAGGCCCAACTGTACAATGAGAGAATTTTTTTTCTTATAGAATACAGGACAGGGATCAATATTTTTCACTAATTCTTAATTCAAAAAGGTTGTTCCAACAGTTTTTGGTAGACGCTTATACTATGATTGAAAGCGAGAGATTACATTTCATAAGGAGCAAACAACAAATTCTTAGATGCGAGTCTTATGAGATTTTACGTAATCAACAAGACCTCGGGAATAGAGATATATCCAACGTCGGACAACGTGTTATCTTACCTACCTCATTCACTGGCGGTGCACGTTATATGATGCAAAACTACCTTGACGCCATGTCCTTATGTAAATGGTTTGGATATCCTGATTTCTTCATAACCTTTACATGTAACCCAAAATGGCCTGAAGTTAAAAGGTTTCTTCGTAACACTTCATTGCATCCTGAAGATAGACCTGATATCTTATGTAGGCTATTCAAAATAAAGCTTGATGCTTTTATTAAAGACATACGGGAAAATAAAATTTTCGGCATCGTTCAAGCAGGTATTGAAAGTTGTTGTTTAATAAAAATTTATTTTTTATTCTTTTTTCGTTTCTTAACATTATTTATTAGTTGCAAATATAATTCATTCACTACTAATCATATCTTTTTTGTAAAATTTATTTGCAGTTGTCTATACAATTGAATTTCAAAAAAGGGGTTTGCCACATAGTCATATTTGTCTATTTATGCATCCTGACTCCAAGCGGCCTACTGTTGAATATATTGATCCGATAATTTCCGCGGAGATTCCAAATATCAATGAAGAGCCAGAGTTGTATTCACTTGTAAGTGAATTCATGATACATGGTCCTTGTGGAGCTGAAAATATGAATTGCCCATGTATGGTTGACAGGCAATGTTCGAAAAATTTTCCAAAGCAATTCTGTAATCATTCTTCAGTTGATAACAACGGTTATCCCTTATATATGAGAAGAAACAATGGATATTTTGTCGAAAAATCAGGTGTCAAGTTAGACAACAGAAATGTTGTTCCATATAACAAATATCTGTTGAAAAGATATCAGGCACATATTAATGTTGAATGGTGCAATCAAGGATCTTCCATAAAGTATCTGTTTAAATATATAAACAAAGGTCCAGATAGAGCTACAGTTGCTGTTGACATCAACACTGATTCTCATCAAGAAAAGGTTGTCGATGAAATAAAAGATTATTATGATTGTAGATATTTATCTGCATGTGAAGCATCATGGCGAATATTTAAATATGATGTTCATTACCGATATCCTTCTGTGATGCGACTACCTTTTCATCTTCCTAATCAACAACAACTTATATATGTTGCAGACGATGATATTGACGATGTTCTTGAACAACCTTCAGTTGCTGCTTCTATGTTCACATCTTGGATGGAATGTAATAAAATTAATAAAGATGCACGAAAACTTACATATGTTGAATTTCCGACAAAGTTCGTTTGGAAAGCTAATCATAAGTTGTGGAAGCCAAGGAAAATTGGACGTTCAATAGGAAGGATTCACTCTGTTTCACCTAAACTTGGTGAAATATACTTCCTAAGAATTCTTTTAAATAAAGTGAAAGGTCCAAAATCATTTGAAGAAATTCGTACGGTAAATGGTGAAGAATTTCCTACTTTTCGAGATGCATGTTATGCTTTGGGCCTCTTAGACGACGACAAAGAATATGTCGAAGCAATTAAGGAAGCAAGTCATTCAGGAAGTGGTTTTTATCTGCGTTTCTTATTTGCTACGATGTTAATGTCTGACAGTTTGGGTAGACCAGAGTTTGTTTGGGAAAATACATGGCAACTATTGTCAGATGGTATTCTTTACAACCAGCAACGTACATTAAAGTCTCTAGGTATTATAATTTTTTAACATTATTTGTAAAAATGAATATTATATATTTTCAATATGCAGCGTGCAAATTTGTTTATAAAAATTAATGTTTTTAATATTATATTGTTTTTTACATATTCATAATTTTTACAGGTTTAACACTCAATGAGGATCAACTTAAAAACCTGACTTTGTTTGAGATCGAACAGATTTTACTTCGTAACAACACCAGTCTTAAAAATTATAACAAAATGCTTTACCCTGATACTGATATGGTTTCTTCTTCAACAAATCGCCTTATCACGGAGGAGCTAGACTATGACATACCCATCTTAAAGAAAGAGTTTGATCGAATGTTTCATGCATTAACAAACGAGCAGCGAAATATTTTTATTGATATCATGACTACAGTCAATGATAAGAAAGGAGGTGTTTTTTTTGTGTATGGATATGGTGGAACAGGCAAAACCTTTCTTTGGAAGACGATATCTGCAGCAATTAGATGTAAAGGTGATATAGTTTTAAATGTTGCTTTAAGTGGTATTGCATCGTTATTATTGCCTGGAGGTAGGACAGCACACTCTCGGTTTATAATTCCATTGAATCTTACAGAGGATTCTGTTTGTAAGATATCGCTTGATAGTGAACTCGACAGATTAGTAAGAAAAACCTCATTGATTATCTGGGATGAAGCACCTATGGTCCACAAGCATGCATTTGAAGCTTTAGATCGAGCTCTGAAAGATGTATGTAACTTTGACAAGTCTGGCAACTCAAAAATTCCATTTGGAGGGAAAGTGATTGTTTTTGGAGGAGACTTCAGACAGATTCTACCTGTTGTTCAAGGAGGCAGTAGACAAAATATTGTTAATGCTTCTTTAAGTTCTTCATATATATGGCAACAATGCAAAGTCCATAGATTAACAATAAACATGAGACTAACCGTTGGAAGGGAACCATCTGATATTCGAAAAATACAAAGTTTTGCAAACTGGCTTTTGGATATAGGAGAAGGAAAAGTTGGTGGTTCAAACGATGGTGAAGCGATTATTGATGTTCCGGATGATATTCTCATTAATGATCCACATGATCCTATAGGTTCATTAATTGAGTTTGTATATCCTTCAATCTTGGAAAAATTCAACGTTATGAGTTATTTTCAAGAAAGAGCTATACTAGCTCCGAAAATGAAGTTGTCCAACAAATCAATGATCGTTTGTTAGCACTGTTTCCCGGAGACGAAGTTGAATATTTAAGTTCAGATAGTCTTTGCCAATCAGAGTTTGTTCATGATCATTTTGATCCCAATTTATACTCCCCAGATATTTTAAATGGTCTTAAAATATCAGGTTTGCCAAATCATAGGTTAATTTTAAAAGTCGGTGTTCCAGTTATGTTACTTAGAAACATTGATCAAAAGAATGGATTATGTAACGGCACCAGACTACAAGTGAAATCTTTGGGCAAACGTGTTATTGAGGCAATTATCATATCTGGAACTAATATTGGAAAACAAACCTTTATTCCAAGATTGTCTTTAACTCCATCTGAAAAAAAAATCCCTTCAAATTTCAAAGAAGACAATTTCCTATGGCTGTATGTTTTGCAATGACAATTAATAAAAGTCAAGGGCAGTCGCTATCAAAGGTTGGTCTGTATCTCAAAGATCCTGTTTTTTCACATGGACAGTTGTATGTTGTCTTATCGAGAGTTCAAAGTAGAGAAGGATTGAAATTGTTAAATTTAGATAAGGATGGTAGACTTACAAACAAAACTTCCAATGTTGTGTATAAGGAAGTTTTTAGAAATTTATAAATCATTCGTAGTGTTTAAATTAAAACAATTGTGTTTTTTTTTATTTAAATTTTTTATATATTTTTTATATACCATTGCAATCCATAATATTGATTTTGTTTTGATATTTCATTTTCACACTTTAATCAATGTCACATGGTGTTTATTGTTTGCTCCCTCAAATCAAAAAATTACTGATTTGCCCTCGCATTTCATAAAACATTCAAATATGCAAACTTTCACTTTAGTTATCTTTGTATTTAACTTTTCTAATGTTTGCTTGTGTTTCTTTTAACATCTATTAAAATTTGTATATTTTTGTACAAATATATATTAATATTAATTTTAAATAATAAATATAAAAATGTTAAACAAATTTACTTCTTATTAATAATATAATTTTTTTACAAATTTTTTACCCGTGGAATCCACGGGTTGTAACCTAGTTAATTAATAATTAAATTATTTTTGTCTGGCTTTTATCTAATTTGGCCATTTCTTTTATAGTAATTAAATTATTTAAATTTTCCGATACACTCGAACATGAATCACACTCCGAGGCATAACCCGTCCACGATTAAACAGGGCCATACAATTCAACTAACATATATAACGTCATCTCCCCTTTCGTTCTTTCTCTCCCTCTCTCGATCCTCAGATCCGATCAATTTCTCTGCAAAATATAAACCCTAAACTTGATCGTAATCAACCGATCATGTCTTCAACATTCTCCGGCGATGAAACGGCTCCGTTCTTCGGCTTTCTCGGCGCCGCTGCCGCGTTAGTCTTCTCCTGTAAGTTTTATCGCTTTTCTAGATCCACTGAATTCCAAATTCGATCTAATTAACCGATATCAATCTACACACGTGATGATCCTGTTTAACGCCGATCTATCAACATCGATCTTTGGCGTTCTAAGCTATAACGTTGACATTCGAAATCAAAAACACCGATCCACGATTCAAGTGCTCCTTTTTTATATCATTTGACTTTGTTATGTAGGTATGGGGGCGGCGTACGGGACGGCGAAGAGCGGTGTTGGAGTGGCGTCGATGGGAGTGATGAGGCCAGAGCTCGTGATGAAGTCTATTGTGCCAGTTGTTATGGCTGGAGTGTTGGGTATTTACGGTTTGATTATCGCTGTGATTATCAGTACTGGAATTAACCCTAAGGCTAAATCCTATTACCTTTTCGATGGGTATGCTCATCTTTCCTCCGGTCTTGCTTGTGGCCTTGCTGGTCTTTCTGCTGGTATGGCTATCGGAATCGTCGGTGATGCTGGTGTTAGGTAATTTTCCTTCACTCTCTCATTCTCTACATCTCTGTTACTGTTTTATTGTAATTACTTAAAACCTATATTTTCCACATTTCAGATCAGTATGCACAT